CTAGGAGAGCAGGTAGCACAGAAGTTTTCTTGGTGGCAGCATGGTTGCATTAACTGCTTAGAGATTTAGGGGCAGGTCGTGGAAGTCAGCATAGGTGATACTCTACAAAATCTCAGGAGAGCTTCTGAAAGAGGGACTGATGCTGCTAGGGACTCACATAACATTGAAATAAAGTTCACTGCTGTTTTTCCAGTTGTATCAGAATAACAATATTCCTACCGAAGACAGCAGTTTGCTGTCTTCATCTCAGACCTTGTTTTTAACAAGACAATGAATACTATTATCAGAAGGAAGTATTCCTAATGAATCTTGTGCTCTTTTAACCAGTCCTATTTGCTCTCCTTGAATGACCTTTAGCAGTGTTCCACTCTGAACAGGGTATAAACCTTCAAACTGCAAAGCTGAGTGTCTGCCCAGCAGTGTGAGTTATGCGAGCTGCTCTTCTGAGGATGGCTGCTCATGTTTACTCCCAGCAGCTCAGCTACAAGCTTTTGTTGTAGCAGAACTGACTGGGTTTGAGTATCTGGACCAGGGACTTCTGTCTGTCGAATAAACGTGTTTGATCCTAGAGATTCCTACAGCACAAGGTCAGAAATGTTCAACAGAACAATAGATAATCTAAAATGATCTCTGGGATAGTACAGATTATTAATCTTCACTTAGTTATGTTTGTACTGCACTGATGGTATCTCATCTCTCAGATGGACACTTTCTTTTCCTGAACTGACATCCTCAGAAGTTGGGGAATCCACCACATCTGATATTTTCTTTTTCCAGTAGGAAAAGAGCTATACTGATAAGTGTGTATGTGATTTCCAGTGATTTCTAGTGGGGAATCATTTGGCTTCAGTTAGCAGATGTCATCTTATGTTTTGCCTTTTCTAGATTACAAAGCTCTTTCCACCTGGTATTTTGTTCCTGTGAAGATATCTGCCCTGTAATCAGATCACCTCTTCATCTTCTTTTTACTAAATTGAAGCAATTGAATATTTAAGTCTCTCACAGACAGGCATTTTCAACCTGCCCTCAAATTATTTTTGTCATTTCTTTTCTGTATTCTTTCCAGTTTTTCAACATCCCTTAGAAAATGAGACACACTATACATTAGATGTGCTACTTTTGTTTATACGCTCTCTACTGTGCTGTAGAGAGGTAAAAATACCTTCCTTTTCCTGGAAAGTGTTTCAGTATCCTGATGTGGGGTTATTGCATTGACAGTTCATATTTAATTGCTTGTCATTAGCTCTGAAATCTTTTCAGAATTGCTGGTTTCCAGGATACTCTGCCTCAATCTGCAGCTGCTGCATGCATTCTTTCTTCCTAAAAGTGTAATTTTGCATTTGGCTGTATTAAAATCGCAAATTGCTTGGATGGATTTGCCCTACAAAGTGATCCAAACTGTTCTGTGTATGATTGCTTGTTCTCATCACAGTACACCACATTGCAAATTTTTGTGTCAGCAGTACACGTTATCAATGTCGATCATATGTTTATTTCAAAACAAAAATATTTTTCGAGATGAAATTGCTGAATCGTGCCAGGCCTTATACTGATCGCTCTGGAACCCATATAATGCACTCCTCAGGGACAACCGATTCTTGTGTTCTGTCACATAGCCAGTTTGTTATTCATTTCACATGTGCCTGATTGACATTGTACTGCCATGTTTATTTTTTATCAGATTATTATGGGCTCCAAGCCTGTCATGTGTGTGTTTGTAATTCTATCAAATGATACAAATGGGTTCATTTGACAACAGTTCTCTACAGACCCTGTTGACTTTACCTCATTTATATATGCCTTTCTTTTAGGTCCCAATTAATTGGCCCATGCATCAACTGTTCTGTTATGTTGTCCAGGGCTGATTTCTGGATCATTGGCAGACAGTTACTTTGTATATCAAGCTTGACCTGTTTGAATACCACCACTGAATTAGCTCCCTTTCCATCTCCACTTACCATTCCATATATTACCATTATTCTAAGATATCCGAGCCAGGAATGGCAGTGAGCCAGAGCTGCCGTCAGCCAGTTCTTGTTGGACCATCCAATCCGACTGATTTTAGAAATCTGTGTTCTCAGTAGACACTGTAACACCTCTTTTGTGCTGACTGATAGGAAAATGGTAAAAGGCATAAAATGGGATGGATCTCTCTGGACACTTCAGTGGCCCCTGACATTGGGTCAGAGGTAGAAGTGTTGACATGGACAGGTTAAGCAGAGGACCAGTTGCTATTTAAGTTCAATTGCAATAAAATACTAGGTTGGGACTTTCGAAGAAACCCAAGAGGTGTAGTGCAAGGTTCTGCACCTGGGGAGGAGTAACCCCAGACACCAGGACAGGCTGGGGACCGACCTTCTGGAGAGCAGCTCTGCAGAGAAAGACCTGGGCATCATAGTGGACGACAAGTTGACCACGAGGCAGCAGTGTGCTCTCGTGGCCAAGAAGGCCAATGGGATCCTGGGGTGCATTAAGAAGAACGTCTCCAGCAGGCCGAGGGAGCCGATCCAAAAAAAAAGGTGAGAGGGGACCTGACCAGTGTCTATAAGTACCTCAAGGGAGGGAGTGAGGAGGATGGTGCTGGTCTCTTTTCAGTGGTGGCCACCGACAGAACTAGAGGTAATGGCCACAAACTGAAGCACCAAAAGTTCCACATGAACTTAAAGAAAAATTTTTTAACAGTGGGGGTGACAGAGTGCTGGAACAGGCTGCCCAGAGAGGTTGTGGAGTCTCCTTCTCTGGAGATCTTCAAAACTCGCTTGGACGCAGTCCTGTGCCATGTCGTCTAGGTGACCCTGCGTGTGCAGGGGGGTTGGACTAGATGACCTCTAGAGGTCCCTTCCAACCTTAAGCATTCTATGATTCTATGAGCAGCTAACCTGCTTTGGACCTTTGTGCAGTAAAGCTTTTCTCCTTGCAGGTGGTACAGGTGAGAAAGAGGGAGGCATTTCCTGATAAGGACTGAACGTCTTGAGAGATTGAATGCTGCCAGCCCGCAAAAGGGCATGGGTACAAAAGAGCAAAATGTGCTGTTGTGTTGGTTTAATGCAAAGGCCTCTGTGTAGGGATCTACATACCTTTAGCACAGACTGTAAGAAGTGTGATCTTGTGAGCTGGATGTCTTCTGCATGTTTAGTCCCTGGAAAACACCCCAAGCCATGAATGTAATTTCTGCAGAAAGTTGTAACTGCACTTACAGGAGGGAGTTCTTAGTCATTTTCTCTTCTTGTGACTCTTCTGGGCCATGTTTTGTTTATTTGCGTGGCCTGGCTTCTCTTCTGGCTGCCTCTTTTTTTTTCAGTGCTGCCTCTTTTCTGGGCATACAGGCCCAGAGAAAGCTCCCAACATGAGAACAATTAGATTTGATACTGCTTATGTCTGCTGGCAGAGGGATGTGATAAGACAATCCATCAGACTTTCTTCATCACAATCCTTCCTGACACAGGCACAATCTTTCCTAGTCCTGGAGTCACAGTGGTCATTCCTGGAGGCACAGAGCTTTCTTAGTGATAGGGGAGAATGACTTTACTATCATAATTCTTTTCAAAGTGCGTACCACAGGGCTGAGGACACTAGTCCTGTCTGCTCCCAGGACCAGCCTGTACTTCAGCCAGCTGCCACACTCATCAATGCTGCCCATCTTACAAGACAAACAAATCATGCAACTTCATGGTTTTCCGACTAGCTCAGAGGCATCTCTGACCTTGACATTGTTGTTGATCAGCTTTTCTAATGCCTGTCACTGGGACATTTGGTTTACAGCCAACTCGAACTGCAGGTTACTGAGTTGTAACCGTGTGCTCGAACTGCCTGTTTTCGAAACCTCAAACTTGGTTGTTTAAAAGTGATAAATGGACCCCAGAGTAATAACCCTGGACTGCTCCATTCAACTATCATGCAGAGCTAACTGTCCTGATGATGCCTGAAGATGCTTTTGAGGCAAGAAGACACCTGATGCACTTTTGGTAGAAAGCAGAAGAGTGTTGCATTGCATTTCCTGATGCACAAAGTGGAGCTGAGGCAACTATCAGGCCATTAGCTTAATGAGAGGATTACATTCATGTGACAGAGGACGCTGGTCAGTGTGCTTTCCTTTTCCACCTACCTCCATAAAACAGGCACATGCGTATGCACAGGACATGTGGGAGAGAGACTAGGAGTAGGACAGAGACTAGGAATCACCATCTCCTTTGAGTGTTCCCAGACTGCCTGGCTTCAAAGTAAAGGGACTAGATGAGCACCATCATTAATGCAGGCGTTTAGGGCTTTTGTATGAATCTGTTAGGTAGGAAAGTGAGCAGATCTTGAGCATGATGGCATGATTGGCAGAGGTTCTGCATGGCAGGCAGGGTGTCCCTGTGTTGTGGCAGCCTGATGGGACCATAAAGAGGGTTTTTTGGTGAGCACTGTATCTTGCCACGCTGCAGCACGCCACAGTTTCAGTTGTGTGCCAGAGTAGATAACAGCCTCAGCTGTGCTGCTGCAGTCAGCTCATCACATGGGACTGTGCTCTCCCCAGAGAGCTGGCATGTCAAAGGCTGTGCAGGGGGAGAGAGAAGTTGGTGTCATCTCTGCTGCTCAGGCTGGGCTGATGCTTTCGCTGGGGTTTTGCCAAGGGGAGAAAAGTTTAGCCAGTGCATTATTATGGAGAAGTGCTTTTGGTGATAAGTCTGTCAGCTTTGCACTGTCTTGGGAAGCTGATGAACTGATGCTATCTTGAAGAAGGCAGAGAGTGAGGCAAGGCAGGCCTTCTGAGGAGACTAATGGGAGAAGAGGGAGAGGGTCACAGTCCCTGCAGTAAGGTGCTGTCCTTGTGATGCCTGAGAATGGGCATGTAGACAGAGCTTCGTATCAAGATGGTGGCCCAGACAGCCTGGCAGTGAAGGTTGCCACAGTGCCTCCTGTTAGACAGGCATTGTAGTCAGTTACTGTAACTGTAACAGTAACTGTAGTCAGTTACTTGTGAGAAATACTGATTCATTTTTTTTCCTCTTCCACAGGTCTCAGAGCAGAATTGGCTCTCCTGTCTCCCCACAGCACACAGGTCCTTCACGGACTGTCCGGCGCTACCCAGACAGCAATGGTCACCTTGTGTCTAATACACTTCCCGGTGGGAATGGCTATGAACAGAGCAGCTCTGGACCACAGGCAGTTTCCCCAGAGCACACATTGTCTGCAAGGGGTAAGGCCTCCAGGGCTGGCAGTCTTTTAGGGGGCTTCATGTTGGGTTCTCCTGGGGAAGGGCAGTGATGTGAGCGGGGATGTCACAGTTAAGCGGTGGCAAGCAAACTCCTAAAAGGCTCTGGTTGCTTCTGTAGCACCTTGGAGGTGGAGAGAAAAGAAGACAGCCCAGCTGTCCCCTCCCAAGGGGAGAAGGCAGCACCATGGAGAAGAATAAAGGAGTGAGGAAAGAATAGTAACCATGATATTGCTGAGATAGCTTCCTGCAGCCTGTTGTGAACTGCAGAGTCAGGGCAAGAAAGGGCATCTGGACTTCCAGAGAGTGAAGCTGGGCAGGGAGGAAAGGGAAGGTCAGTGTACACATTGCTGAGCCTGAGGAAGAAAAAGATGCCATGGAAGGAGGACGCATCAGGAGAGCAAAATACTGATGGTGGGAAGAGAAGGCATGGGTATGTGACAGGAGCCTCCCAGAGCAGTAGAGTGTCACCTCAGCACATTACTCTGGCTGGGAATTTCCTCATTCTGTAGAAATGGCATCTCCCAGCATCTCGCTCTGTTTCAAACTCCCCTTTGGTCAGATTGTGTAACAGACATCTAGTTTTTCCCTTTGGCTGCCCTGTTTGTGCCTTCTGACATGAGCAGGGGTTAAGCCAGGCGGCAGGAACATGTAGTTTCTGAGACAGAGTCTCAGAAGCTCCCCGGCTAGAACAGATGAAAACTGTCTTCTGCATGATTCCTGAAGGAGAGGAATGGCCTCATGTGGCATCTCAGCCCTTATGAGTAGAGCTGTGAGCCCGATTTAAGTTGTAAACTGGAAGTAGGGGATGAAATGGGAAGCATGTGTGTGTGGTAGGGATGTGAGCATAGCAAGGGGGGCATTCACAGATACTGCTGTCTTGCAGTACAGGGATAGAGGGCTCTAGTGTTGAGCAAGCTATTTCATGTTTATGCAACATGAATACTTGCCCATTTTCTTCAAGCCTCCAAATTCTCTGAGTGTGATTTCTCTTTTATCTAATATGAGGATGGTGAGGAAATGAAGGGGAGGTGACTGAAGATGTCAGGGGATGTTTGCCGAGAGATATTTATTTCTCTCTGAGAGAAATAGAGAGGCCAGATGCTCTCTTTAGTGGATACCAGCTTGGCTGTCTTTGTAGGAAGTCCTTCAGTGGTGTAAAGACATTCAGGCTCCAGGCTATGTAAGTGGATTGAAAAGGAATATTGCCTAAATCAGCAAAACACCCTTTTATACTGGAATTAGTGTGCATCTCTCTTCATAAGGAGTTGCCAGTCTAACTGAGAATGCAGTGCTTGTTGCTGCTGGTTTCCCACATGTTAACAAGCCATTAATGATGCTGGAGCAGAGGACAAGGCAGGTGTGGGCAAGGGGCAAGCAGAGACATTGCCCAGAGCTGTGGTCACAGATCCCTCCCTGCTCTGGGAATGCTTTGGAGAGAGAGATGCAGATTACCCACCCCCTGTCCTGAAGAAGCTGCTTCTACTCAGCACTATCCTTTTCCTTCACAGGAGCCAACCTGACAGAGAAGATTAGGAAAATAAAGATTGTCTTCACACCCACCATCTGCAAGCAGACTTGCCGGAGTGGGCGCTGCTACAACAGCTGCGAGAAGGGAGACACCACCACTCTTTACAGCCAAGGGGGGCACAACCATGATCCCAAGTCTGGCTTCCGCATCTGTGAGTCCCCAGCCTATTTCATTGCCTGGTCTCCCACTGTTCTCCTTAATCCTTTTGTGTCTTTACAGACTGAGAGCTAGAGTTGGTAGAAGGATGGGAGGAGATAAATAGAAGAAAGATATCTCTTGGAACCTTTAGAGCTTACTCCATCTCTGTCTCGGAGGGAGAAAGACAGACCTTGCCTCATTACCCTCTTTCCTGGGCAGGCAGTTTCAGTTTCCATCCCACCCTAGGTAGGGGGAACATGTGTGTTTCACTCAGGCCTGCAGCCAGGCCTTGCCTCCCCCTCCTCCTCAGAGCCAGCTCACTGCTTTCATTGGCATCCAGTCTTGGGGCTGACTTTCATCACCTAATTTCCTCCTGTTCTCTCTTTTCATTCACGTGGCAGCCAGGAGAGTTGGCTGCAGCAAGCTGTTTCTACAAACAGCCTGCTGAAACCTCTCCTCACCTTGTAGAGCTGCTGGGATTGCCTTCTAGGTCACTGTGATACCCACTCAGTTGGGCACATCCTTTTGGAGCTAGTCGGTGGGAGCAGCCCACAGGACCAAGGTAGGACTCATTCTCTGAAAGCTCCCGTAACTCTCTAACACTGAGAGAGTACAAAGAAAAGTCTGGATGTGATGCAGACTGAGTGATAAGAGGTTCTAGGAATTTGTGTCCAGATCTCAGTCCAATGATGTGTCTGCTCATCCCCCCAGCCTGATTGCTGAGTTTGAGCAAAGGAGCTCTAAGCAGGGCATTCATACCCTGGGCTGAACCTGAAAAGCCATTCTCGTGTGTGCAGCAGCAATGTTTCATCTCAGGCTGAAATGAAAAGATGGTCATGGACAGGTCATCTCAAGATGACCTGTCAGGAAACCCTTGTACCTTGTCTGAGTGTTGTTCACATTGAGAGAGATGCTGGGTTACTCCAAACATCTCATGAGACCATAAAAGACTTCAGCTTCATTCGTGGATGCTTTTTCTGATTCTGTGCTCCCAGTTTTTTTGTCCCACTCTATGCTTCACCCCCTTCAGCTGCTGAAGAGAGCAGCTGGGAGAGGCTCTGAGTATATAGTGCTCTGCCTGTGCTCGTTCTGCCTATCCCACCCCACTGGGCTCCCTTCTGGGCTGGGAGTAAAAAAGGCTTCCTGCCAAGTGAGGAAGTGGCATAAAATCCCTTCATGCTAAGAAAAGGTGTTCTGCTGAGTCAGCCCTGTGTTGCGGCCGTAGCTCCTGCTCCGCTCCAAGGAATCCTGCTGGTGCGTGCATTATGACCTTGGCTCTGTGGGGTTGCCCTGCAGGGCATGGGTGCCTCATGCTGGCCGTGGTCCCAGAGACCAAGCGAGAGCTAATCATCTTCAGCTCATGACTCCAGGCCATGCTACAGCTCAGGGAGAGCCCTGGCTTCTCTGCTTGCTCCCTGCTGGTTAGTGATACCCAGCAGAGCTGCCAGGCTTGCCTCCAGGCAGCTTACTGCAAATGCAGAGCCTGGCTTAGTCTGAGGTCTACTTGTCAGGTCCTACAGGGTTAGTGCCAGACCAGTTCCAGCTGTCCAGCCTCCCACAGCCATTCATTAGTTAGTGGTAGTAGCTCAGATTCTTTGCTATGTGGGCCTCTTTTTGCCTTGCAGATTTCTGCCAGATTCCCTGCTTGAATGGAGGACGTTGTGTAGGCCGGGATGAATGCTGGTGCCCCTCTAATTCCACGGGGAAGTTTTGTCACCTGCCAGCTTCCACTCTGGAAAAGAAGCAAGCAGGAAGAGTGCCAAACACCATGGCCAGCAGCTCCATGAAGCACTCCACATACACACTGCCCCTGTCCAACCAGCTGGGTGAGTGTGGTTGGGCCTCCAAACTCTGGGTTCTCAGCATGTAGAGGTGCCTGTCATAGAGAAGAGTCCTGCAACTGTTACCTTGTACTTGCAAAGCCAAGGCCCAGGCCTCATGCCCTGGGGACTGGAAGGTTATTGAGGCAGCGAGTAAGGGAATCAGGGAATTTAGGAGGAATGCTATGGGGCTGTAAGATGAGCAAAGGCTAGGGCTAGTCCTGGCACAGGTGAGGCAAGGCGATGTTGAGTCAGAAATCCTTTTGAATTCCTAAATTCTTTTAGATTAATGTATCTACCCAAAATATATATCCCAACCACTGTTTCCTGTGACAATGGCTCCCTGTTGATGCTAGTTTCCTCTGCTAGAAGCCAAGGCTTCCCTTATTCTTCTGAATCTGCCTACTCTGGCTACTCCTCAGAATTTCAGGGGAGCACTAATAGGCCCATTTTGGTCAGTAGCTCCCTACATTTGCCTTATCAGGCTAGGTTATTAGAAAAGCAGCTGCCTTAGTTTCGGAAGGGCTCAGGTTGTTGGAAAAAGCTTTTGGTAGGATTGTCCTGTTAGTAGGCCAGGTAAGTATTTTGTCTTAGACATAGTCTTCCTCTAGATTTCTTGGTGGTATCAGTCTACTTCTCTCCCTGCATGACTTTTGATAGGATGTTCTTCAGATGCCAAATTGTAGCTAGAGTGTGAAAATATTGGTATAAACGCATTTTCCAGCTTCCTTAAACCCTTCCTTGGTGAACGTCCACATCAACCACCCTCCAGAAGCTACTGTGCAGATTCATCAGGTGGCCAGGGTGCGGGGCGACTCAGAGCTGTCAGAGGAGAACAGTGTGGAGGCAGTGGTGGTACCTCCACTGGCTGCAGTGCCGTGGTACACCTACACCAATGGGAACGGCAACAACATCGGCACAGAAAGCAAACAGCAGCAGAGACCTCCAGATGTGATGGGGAGGTGCTTTCGGGAGGCTCTTCATGGACAGGTAAGGGGTTACCTGTAAAGTGAGGTCTACATGCAGATAAATTTGTTATTTTGGGCAGGGGTTCATTTGCACGTGAGGAAGTGAGTGTGGCCTTTCATTGCGTGAAACTGTTCAGAATATCTGAATGATGTGTGGGCAGCACCTAGTGTTGTGGGCATGTGGGTTTTGGAAGGAAAACCACACTGTCTTGCCCTGAGAAGGCTGTGCCCTGGGGCAGAATAGCCCAGACTCGATAGCTTTCACACACAGTCTCATTTGAAAAGGATACCCTATTTATAGAAACATTTACAGCCACAATCTGTGATTATTGTAGGAAACGTATAAAATATAGGAAAATTCCTTTCCCTCTCACACAGTAAATGAAAATCTGATTTCCATGGAACATTGCCTTCCTGGGCAGCTTGGTCAGTATTTGGGAAGCAAATGCACGTGAGGGGCTTTCTCACCCCCGTCTCACAATCATCATAGTTTCTTATTTTGTCTTTCCCCATATGTTTCTGTTGCGTCACTGGAAAAGTATCGGAGGTTTTTGGCACCCACAAGAACACCTGTGAATTCCCCCAGAGCAGCTTGCTCTCTGTGAGACCACAGTTGGGCAGGCTGAGACTCTGCCTCCTATTCATTGCTCGGAGAACTCAGCCCTTTTTAAGGACTGCTCCTGGTTCCTTTCCCATCCAGGGCATTTTTAGCTGGATAAATTCTCAGCACTTCCCTAGTACAAAAATAAATGAGATCAAGCCCTAAACATCTCACAAAGAGACTGGAAAAGCCCTATCCCTCTATGAGGAGACAACAGCTCCCTGACCCTTGGAGCAGGTTTGCCTTCCAAGTAGCCAGCTTAAAGAGGCACTTAGAGGCATTTAATTTTCTCCAGCATTTCCAGAGGGCTGTGAGTGAAGCTCTTGGAAGGGGCAAAGGGAGAGGAAAGGATGCCGTTACTGTGCTCACACCTTTTTTTTTAATCTATTGCTGGGTCTATGGCTGAGGAGACTGGGTGACAGCAAGGAGCCCAGGCAGAAAGTGTTTGTCTCTTCCCTCTCAGCCTGAAGCCAAGCTGATTGGAATGTGAGCACTGGGCGCACGGCCATTTCTCATATGGATGAGGGCCAGATTTGGCCTGCGGACTGCGACAGCTCAGCTCTAATGGGGAAGCCTGTAATCCAGAGGGCCTTGCCGGGGGGAAGAGAGACATATTCAGCAAGTGAAAGTGCCTGACCACAAGTTCCCCACAGGGCTGGAATGGTGCACCCGTATTTTGGCTAATCAGTGTGTGGCTAAGAGCAGGCACTGCACTGATCCTGGGGCTTTGCTGGGTGATATCATCTCTGATCCTTGTTCTGCACTGTTTGATGTCCTCCTCTTCTCCTCCAAAGGGATGCAGTCAAAGGGGTTTCATGCTTCTCTGTCTGTAAAATTGTTTACTGTCTTAAACTGTATCCCTGATCGTGCTGTGTCCCTGTTGGGAGTGGTGCTGTGAGAATTGCGTTAGCTTCTAACCCTATGCCATAGTCCCCATACTGACTGTGCCCTCGCCTTATAAGCAAACCACAGCTGCCTTCCTCCTCCCGCAGTACCTGCAAAGGGCAGGTGCACGGTCCTCTGCTTGTCACAGAGAAGCCTGAACCCTCTGGTCCTCTCTCTGCAGTGCGCTAACCCTCTACCAGGGCTGACCAAGCTGGAGGATTGTTGTGGCAGTGTGGGGCTCTTCTGGGGTGTGGACAGGTGCCTAGCCTGCCCACCTCGACCAGGTAAGTGCTCCTGCAGGGAAAGGCTGCCTCTGTAGAAGGTGCCAAGGAACTGCCTGCAACCTCTGCAAGCAAAAGAGATTCAGCCAGGGCCAACAGGCTGCTTCAAACAGCTGAAGAAGCATAAAGCAGGGCTGCACATCCCAGGTGCCCTGGAATGCAGATGTCCTTTTCCAGAGGTCCTCAGAGGAGAAAAATATGTCTAATGTGGTATGCAGGGTGATGTCTGCTCTGGTCTGGACTCAGCCCACGCATGAGGGAGGAATGGTCTGGTTTGGGTGCTGGCTTCAAGCTCAGCACTTTCTCCACAAACCGCCTCTGTAAAAGCCCAGTGCAGCCAGTGGTTTGATCCATGCCAGATCCATTAGGAAGGAGAAACAGGAAAACAACGGCCGTGGTTTTAGGAGGTGCAGTCCTAGATTAGTTGAGGAGGCTGCAGACTCGGCCCTATAGAATTACGGGCCTGTTCTAGGCCCAACACGGGCTTGGCAGGGGCTTTGGAAATAACACTACATCAAACAATTGGCAGGAGTGCACCCAGAGTCCATTCCAGGGGCACAGGAATCCAGCTCTATTTCTTCTGCTCTCAGGAGCTGGACAGAGTGATGCTGCCCAGAGACAGGGGATTCCTCAGCAGCTTCGCTGGGGCATTAGGCCGTCACCATGGTGTGCATGCCTTGGGATGCTCCGAGATCAAGACCTTGCCGTGAGAGGAGAGAGCAACTTGGTGATTCCAGTGCTGTCTGGGGGCACAGCCCTTTTCCTGGGCAGGCACAGCCACGCAGTAGTTTCCAGGTTCAAATCCTGGAGTGAATGGTTGGGAGGTGGAGGTCCCAGAAAGGCCATTGTGGCAGGATGTGTTCCAGATCCGGAGAAAGTGGTGAGATGCCAAAAGACTGAAGGAGGGACAAGCTAGACCATGGCACCCTGGAAGTCATGGTCTAGCTTGTCCCTCTTTTAGTCTTCTCCAACAACAATGTGGAACTGGTAGCTCTGGATTAGCCAGCAGGCAGGCAACATGGGCTGGGAGCGCTGTGCTCAGACTGGTGGCCCAATGATGGACAGTGCCCATCAAACTTCAGCTTCTCCCATATATTCCAGAGGAACAGCAGGGAGGATTCTTTGCTGGGAAGAAGGCCCTCTTTAAACCCCCGTGAGACCTCCAGTTCCTCCTGTATGCGCATCTTCCCTCAGCAGGACTTACTTTCTATCTTTGTACCCTGGAGCCCTGCCAGGACACTGCTCCAGCCTCAGAGGCACGACTGGCTCAGAGACAAAGCCGTGGAGGGCGGGAGGTGGTGAGCCCTGTCTCAGAGCGACTGCACAGGCACAAGGCCCCTGCAGTCAGAGGTATTGCCGTGTTGGTCTGGTGTGGGGCGAGGTGCTGTTTTATGCCGGGTGCAGTCCTGGATGTTTCAGAGAGGCTTCAGCTTAGCATAGACAGACAGGGATCTTCTAACCTGTTTCCTATCTAGCCATCTCACTTCATCACTGTCTATTTGCTCAATCTCTTACCTTCCCTATACAGAAACACTAAAATAAACAGAACCTGTGACCCAGGACTTTTTGACCTAGGAGGATACCAGAGACATTCAAGGCAGTAGGTTTTGAGGAAGTGTGATGTTGGTGCATTTCAGCTGTGCCCCAGAGGTTGTCCTTCTTTATTACATGTACACTTTCAAGAGCTGTTTGTATTTCTGTCTCCTTTGTGCTGCCTTAATACAGTTTCTCTGCAGTCAGGGGTAGAGCTGACTGGAGCCAAATTCCTTGCAATCACAGACTAGATTGTCAGCATCCTGGAACCCAGTGCAAATATGAGGGGCTCTGATTACTGGGATTTTTCTGCTCTGAAGGCTGTGCTGTGGCCTTGAGCCATGTTGTTGCTTGTCTGTGCTCATTCATGTGCCAGCACTGAAGGAGACTTAAGCATACGCAGTATGCGGGTGACCAAATGGTTGCTCAGTTCAGCACAAACAAGGAAATGCCCCACACAGGCCTCAGCATCCTCCTAATCTTCTCATAACATTCTAGCATTTCATTCCTAAGGAAATGCTAGTGATCATGTCCTTGATCACTGTTTTCTCCTACCCATCTCACAGCAGTCTCCCACCTGCCCTTTTTCTCTGTGATCCCTTCCCATCAGGAAGCACAGGGCCAGTATAATATGCCTGTTAGGCTGCAGGTGGCTGTAAAATTCCTGCATCATCTTCCTCTCTGAGCCAGGATGCTAGGTATCACTGAGCACTCATGGCCAGAGCAGCAGCTTCACTAGACTTAGTTCTTTAGTCTTTAAAATGCTTCTGTAACCAGAGACTTCCAAGACATAAACACAGGCATAAAATACCGGCATGTGTTTCTTGAAGTACACAATAAAGTAAATGTATCTGAGAAATGCCTGCTGCCAGCAGGTGCCATGTCTGCAGATCAGCATCTGCACTGTGTCCCAGCAGCTGAGGGTGTCACTGCTGGTCTTTGTTGAGCGGACAGATGATTTTATGACTTTTTTCCAGATTAATTCCATGGGGATGTGAAAAATGGATCCCTCTGGGTCTTCCACCTTCCTGTGCCACAAGTAAATCCTATCCTTAGCTCCCATGGTTTTTGGCTATAGAGTTTCCCTTTGGAGAAGAGATGGCGCTTGTTGATTTTGTCAGAAATTAAGAAATTAGTTGAAGGGGCCATTTTCACCCTCTTTAACTGTGTGCAAGTTTTTTCTGCTTTTGCCTACCTCTGATTCACTGCTGTGTAACTAGCCCCACATGCAGAGGACCACATGATACAAATGAAGGGAGCCAGAAGGCAGACATTTGGTGAAGCTAGCTTAAGAGAGTCATGCTGTTGTGACCCAAACTGCTGGCATGCTCTTCTCTGGAGTATTAGCATGTGAGCGATCTCACCCCAGAATGAAGCCAAAGAAACAGCCCTTTCTCCATGACCTTATTGCTCTAATGGAGCCACTGACTACTATACAACTTCTTACAGCCCCATGCCTCCTCTGCCAGGATTCTCAGATCTATCTTTCCAGCATGAAGCCATCACTCTGCACCATTCCTACTTATAAACCATGTCTCACAGTCATATCCTTTCTATCTCCTGGTTCTGCTGGCTTGCATTTTGCTGATCCTAAGTCACTGAACTGTAGTTCAGAGACCTAGTATCATATGTGCAGAGGTAACATGTCTGATTGATGTTTTCAGCTTTCTTCTTGGCACTGTGGTCTTCAGAGAAAACTCTTTTCTGCACTGATATGTCCTGGGGAGGTGTACTACAGAACCAGACTTGACAGCTCTGGGAATTTCAAGCATTCCAGCAACCAGAGACAGAAATGGCAGAAGCTAGTTCAGTGTAAACACTTACAAATGTACAGAAGTGCAGCCAGGCAAGAGCTAGACAAATGGAGAACTTGTTTGGATTGACTGTCTGCCCGAGACACTGATTGTTAGTAGAGTCTGAATATGTCCGGATGTCTGTCGAGTGCAGCTTTCATGTTTGGTACGTGTTTGTGTGCGGAAAGACATCAGAGAAGAGGAAGAAACAAAGGCAGGCATCTGTCTGAGCAAACCTGCCATGACCAATTCTTGCTATTTTTCATATTTTACCTAACATCAGAAAAAAATAAGACGCTTGAATCCTAAAGAGAATATATCTAGAAGATGAGTTCAGAATGAGGTAGAGATGGGGTGTGACCAGACCAGGACATTCTGTAACAAGTGTTACATCAGCCTCAGAGGTTGTTGGCTTGGTTTGGGCTTTCAGCCGTCTGGTTTACTCCTGGAAGGGTGCATGTTGTTAGGTTTCTTCAGGGAAGTACACACAGAGAAGAGACTTTGGGCAAGCCATAGCAGAGAGCACTGGAGATTTTCTTTTGCTCATGTAAATAGGTGCTAAAGATGGGATGTCTCCGATGTGGAAGATCAGAGACAGACTGGGGGAGTGACAGACTTGGTGAAGGTGGTCACTGAGAAAGTGAGAGGAAGATGAGTTAGAGAGGGGGCTTAGGGTAAGACAGGGCATCTACATGCTGTAGTGCAACTATAGTGCTTGGACTCAGAATGAAGGTTGATGGATGAAATATATGCAGTTCTGTATAAACTGTAATACAAAATAAATCAGAGGAAAATGTCTATGAATCCTCCAGGTCTTGCTCAGCAGGGGTCCTGGGGCAGTCACTAAAAGGCTAGATGAGAGGCAGGAGGAGGACTATAGAAGACTGCAAAGATAAAACTCAAAGAAGATCCATAGTGGTGAAAGGGAATTAGAGACTGAGGGAGTTGTTAAAGCAGAAATACTTGGATGTGGCTGTCAGGGAAGCCCAAGCACAGGCAGGATATTTGAGCTGTGCTGGTAAGGAAGTTGTACTAAAGCAACTGTGCTCTGTAAGCTACTGTGCTGTGGAAACTTTGGGATGTCAAGGCTAGTACCAGGCACATGGCTGTGTAGAGTTACTCCTCTATTTGCAGGTACATAGTGATATGTGAAGAATAGCATGCTGAAACCAGGATGAGAGATGATCTGTGCAAACTAAAACCAGCATAGCCCAGAGACCATTTGGGGATAGGTAGACACCAAACCCTGGCAAGGTGTACATTTGGACATGTTTTTCCCTGAAACATTAGGATGTCTTGACCCTCTTTAGGCATGTGGGAACAGAGCTTAGAAATGAAAAGATTTTCTTGGAAGGCAAGGTGTTCACTATGGTGTAAGACATCAAGTTTTTCCCATTTCAGAATTGTTCTTTTTCATTTTTTATCTCTAAGATTTTTTTCAGAGAAGCTGATATTTGAGACATGTGGCCAGAGGGGTTCTGAAATGTCCCAGTGTTTCTTCATTATGAGATACTGCCCTGTTCTGAGCGTGGTGAGATGTACCCTTGCAGAGCCTGCCCAGGGCCCTCACTCAGAGGCGCAGAGAGCAAGGCACTCGGCCAGAAAGAGTCACGGCCCGCGTCTTCCACATTCTTCCTGTCTCCAGGGTCCACGCAATTCTGCAACAGGGCGAGCTCCAAGAGAAGACAGCCATGCTGCTACATGACTGACCATGTCTACCCTTGCCTGTATTGTGCAGGAGATACAAAGCTAACCTTCCTCTATGGGTTTGGGGGAGTTTCTGGCTGGAGCAGTAAACCAGCCTATTTCAGGTTCTGATTTTCATTGCCCACCATCCCTTACTTTATGCCGCAGTGTAGCTAGACAGTCAGCCTAACCATGGGCTTGGTAACCCCCTGGCTGTTCATGCACATTACAGATCTTCGTGTGCTACTTTTTCTCCTCCTGACGATGAGTTTTTGCTTTCTTAAGAGTCAAGTCTTTGAAGACCATTGTTTCGTTTTTATTCCCACTCCCCATGTTTTTTCAAGTTTTTTGTCCTAGAGAAAAGTCTGAATTTCACTGGAAAATTGGATCTTGCAATGTCTGGCTTGGCGTCTGCAGCGCTCCCCAAACAGACCTCCCACTGTGAGAGGGGTGGCAGCTCACCCATGGAGCTGCCGTCATCAGAAACACCGCGCGGCTCTGCAGGCAGCGCGCTCCTCCGTGCAATGCCTGGAGGCACTGAAGCAGTAACTGGAGTCCACTTCAGATCAACCCCCTGGTCTGCCCTTGTTGTGATCAGATCAGGGAAGATATGGAGGGGAAAAAGGGAAGCATGGAGTGAAGGCTACAGGGACTCTCTTGAGCTTGTTTGAGAGGCAGGACACTGACCTGAGCCCCAGGCAGCAGCTGGACCACACAGTCCCAGCTATGCTGGATGCCATGAGCCTGTGCATGCTGGCTTTTTTCCTTTTTTTTTGTTTCCTTTCATGCTGGGAGGGATAGGGCAATTAGAAGTACCACAGCACCCTCCTGATGGCATGGGCTGTGCCCAGTGCTTGCACAGAGCCTTCTCTAGTCTGGATAGGGGTTCTTCTGCATAGCCAGTCCAGCACCTCCAGAAATGACTGCGTGTCCTAAAAGTGGCAAAGGAATTCAGCAATGCAAGGTTTCTCAGATAATGTCTTTAGTTTGATGAATGGAAAGAGTTGAAAGAAACTGGCAAGCCCTTAGCATCCAAGCATTTCCTCACTTCTCTTCTGATCTAACCACAGGCTTGTCTTTACTCCTTTTAACCGAGTGATATTGGCTGCCTAATACAATATATTATAATCTCTCTAAGAACTTTGCCTCACTCAGAATCTTGTGGCTAAACTGCTAGGAAGAGTTTACTTACAATTCACCATTAATCTGAGCTTCATCCTGTCTTCAAGGAGCATTTCCTTGTCCTTCATTTTATCTGGGCTGTTTCTGTGCCTCTTCTGTCCGCCATAAGAGACAGACCATGTCTCTGGACAGGAACTTGGGCTTGTAGTGACTGGGAAGCCAGGGCCCTGGAGTAAAGTCTTCTTTCTTGGAATGTCAGGACTGTAGTGGGAAGTGACAGAAAACTTCTGAAATGTGCCTAGCTGCTTAAGAATCATCCTGCTAGACTGAAAAAAAGAGAGCCCTTTGCTTGCTTTCCATGCATCTGCTTTCCTTCTCATTTTGATGTACTTGAATATTCTGCTAGATGAGGAGAAAGGCAGTAGTGTGAGTGCAGGCTTGTGCCTACCTTTTTTTAATTTTTTTTTCTGGGGATATGAGCTAATTTTACTTTACCTCCCACCGAAATTCCTTGGGACACACACAGTCCCCTTTGCGATCCCAGCCTCACCTGGGGCTCACCTGGTCTTGCTGAGCTCACAGAAGGCAGCACTGGTGGTGACATGAAGCAAAGCTGGACCAGATGGGAGAGGGGCTGTTGCAGAGAGCCTGGAGTCCTGGTGTGCAACTACCTGGAAAGTTCTTCCCTGTAGCCCAGAGGCTGCTGAATGGAAGTGCTCAGGGTACGAGGCTTTGATATCACACGCCTGAATCAGGAGGCAGAGCTCCTTGCCCTCAGACAAGTCTGAAATCCCTCTACCTGACAGACGGAGCTCAGCTGCCCTGTTCCCAGCCAAAGCGTCATTCCCCCTTCCTTGAAAGCGGGTAGGCAGGCAGACATGGGAGCCAAG